GACAAAGACAGTGATAACATGGATGAATGTGGGTGAATATTGGACAATGACATAGGACAACATGGATGAATGTGGGTGAATATTAGACAATGACATAGGGATAACATGGATGAAAGTGGGTGAATATTGGACAAAGACCTAGGGATAACATGGATGAATGTGGGTGAATATTGGAGAAAGACATAAGGATCAGATGGAGGAATGTGGGTGAATATTGGACAATGGCATAGGGATAACATGGATGAATGTGGGTGAATATTGGACAATGACATAGGGATAACATGGATGAATGTCGGTGAATATTGGACAAAGACAGTGATAACATGGATGAATATGGGTGAATATTGGACAATGACATAGGACAACATGGATGAATGTGGGTGAATATTGGACAATGACATAGGGATAACATGGATGAAAGTGGGTGAATATTGGAGAAAGACCTAGGGATAACATGGATGAATGTGGGTGAATATTGGAGAAAGACATAAGGATCAGATGGAGGAATGTGGGTGAATATTGGACAATGACATAGGGATAACATTGATGAATGTGGATGAATAGTGGACAAAGACATAGGATAACATGGATGAAAGTGGGTGAATATTGGACAATGACACAAGACAACATAGATGAATGTGGGTGAATATTGGACAATGACATAAGACAACATAGATGAATGTGGGTGAATATTGGACAATGACATAAGATAACATGGATGAATGTGGGTGAATATTGGACAATAACATAAGATAACATGGATGAATGTGGGTGAATATTGGACAATGACCTAGGGATAACATGGATGAATGTGGGTGAATATTGGACAATAACATAAGGATATCATAGATGAATGTGGGTGAATATTGGACAAAGACAGTGATAACATGGATGAATGTGGGTGAATATTGGACAATAACATAAGACAACATAGATGAATGTGGGTGAATATTGGACAATAACATAAGGATATCATAGATGAATGTGGGTGAATATTGGACAATGACCTAGGGATAACATGGATGAATGTGGGTGAATATTGGACAATAACATAAGACAAAATAAATGAATGTGGGTGAATATTGGACAATACATGAGGATAACGTGGATGAACGTGGGTGAATATAGGACAATACATGAGGATAACATGGATGAATGTGGGTGAATATTAGACAATGACATAGGGATAACATGGATGAAAGTGGGTGAATATTGGACAAAGACCTAGGAATAACATGGATGAATGTGGGTGAATATTGGAGAAAGACATAAGGATCAGATGGAGGAATGTGGGTGAATATTGGACAATGACATAGGGATAACATTGATGAATGTGGATGAATAGTGGACAAAGACATAGGACAACATGGATGAATGCGGGTGAATATTAGACAAAGACAGTGATAACATGGATGAATGTGGGTGAGTATTGGATAATGACCTAGGGATAACATAGATGAATGTGGGTGAATATTGGACAATGACCTAGGGATAACATGGATGAATGTGGGTGAATATTGGACAATGACATAGGGATAACATGGATGAATGTGGGTGAGTATTGGACAATGACCTAGGGATAACATGGATGAATGTGGGTGAATATTGGACAATGACATAGGGATAACATGGATGAATGTGGGTGAATATTGGACAATGACCTAGGGATAACATGGATGAATGTGGGTGAATATTCAACAATGACATAGGGATAACATGGATGAATGTGGGTGAATATTGGACAAAGACAGTGATAACATGGATGAATGTGGGTGAGTATTGGACAATGACCTAGGGATAACATGGATGAATGTGGGTGAATATTGGACAATGACATAGGGATAACATGGATGAATGTGGGTGAATATTGGACAATAACCTAGGGATAACATGGATGAATGTGGGTGAATATTCAACAATGACATAGGGATAACATGGATGAATGTGGGTGAATATTGGACAATGGCATAGGGATAACATGGATGAATGTGGGTGAATATTGGACAATGACATAGGGATAACATGGATGAATGTCGGTGAATATTGGACAAAGACAGTGATAACATGGATGAATGTGGGTGAATATTGGACAATGACATAGGAC